GATGAAGGCCTATTAGGGAGTTTTGCAGGGCTCGTTGATTCGAACCCATTCAGGAAATCTAGCAAAAGTTGTTTGAAGGAAATCCAGCCTTTGAAAGCTTCCCCTACCGGGACAACTAGGTTTGTCTTTCCTCCTGAGTTTTGTACCTTGGTTATCTCAATGAAGCTTCCTCGTTTGTTTGTGGTTTTTAGGATCCAAACAAAACCATTTGCACAGTGATTCTTCCGAAAAAACTTCTGGTTTTGAGGTGAGAGAAGAAGGTCTGATATAGCATCTGTTAGTTAACCAAACTATAACCACTTCTTCCAAGGAAACTGTAAATTTTCTTTGTAGATGAAATTCTTCAATCTGGACCACTCTTCCTTTATATCTCTGATCAAAAGAGCAAGAGAAGGATTTGTTTTCTATCCTAGTGGTTAATCTCCGTGGAGCCATGTCGGAGATTAATGGTGATCGGAAGGAAGATCACCGTAGACATCGTTCTGGGGATGGATGAAAGGGAGGAGAGAGAACGGAGAGATAGAGAGAAGACATGATATTATTTTGGATGGACCATGACACTTTTTAAATATAAAAACTTAACCAAAACAAAATTTCAAAATGGAAGATAGATTCACCAAATAAAATAAACCTTATAACAACACAATGCTAAGAAGCATGAACAAAAAAACGTGAAACAAAGATATGATAACGAGTAACATTACATGACTTTCTACAAAATTAGGATATGAACGCAGAAATCACTCAATAAAATTTATTCGTATACTTAACAATGTTGATGATTTTCATGCTCAAGTTAAGCATGGGTGTGCTTGAGGAATAAGGGTATTATTGGTTGAAGATGGTCCTTATTTTGGACCAAAGTTTCACTTTAAATTATGAAATTTGCATTTAAAATATAACATTCATAAGATAACACACATGGAACCAATGAAAAGTAGAAAAATCAGTTACATATTAGTAATGCTACGATGTCATGAAACAAATGTTAGTGAAGGTTCTAAAACCAGCTAAATATAGATTATCAACGTGTCTTACAAGAAATTTCAAAGTCAAATATATCCACAATTATATGCTTCTACAAAAAGATCAGCCATTTCTAGTTCATAATCCAAATGGAGATACATTACCCAAACTAAAATCCACATGCTTCCTAGGAAGAATGTTACTAAAACATTGAAGCACAAAATAACATACCTGGAGAGTGACAGTTGAAGTAATGAACCCAAATGCATATTCACCAACACGGGGGTGCCTAATGATGGCAACTTCCTTGAAGGCTTGGGTGTTTTGATCTAATATAGATGATGATAAGATTATATAGATGGTTCATACATAAACCTGACCATGTTAAAAGAAATATACTTAGGAAAGGTGTACCTGGTGAAATAGCAGAACTAATCTGCTTAGAGGCATTGTATATATGACGAACAAATGGCATGCGCTTGATGAACCACTCTCCAAGAGCCAAAACAGAAGCACCCAACCATGATGACATGAATACCCCAACAAGGAAGATGAACGTGACTGATGTTGCAAACCCAAGACCTAGCCAAGAAACAAGAATAAGCTTTTGATAATAAAACTGGAAATATACAAGTTAATAGGTTTGTCATATCGAACAGGGATTCATCAACCATTTGGAAAGATGGGCATTTATATTTTCAATATTACCTAGTCAACATATGAGCAAGCAAAGAAAACAGACATCAATGGTAGATTAGATTTGGCAAGATGAGCATTTATATTTTCAATATTACCTAGTCAACATAAGAGCAAGCAAAGAAAACATATATCAATGGTAAATTCACTAATCACTCATGTAGGTAGTTGATCAAATACAGATCAAACAAATTGCACATAAATTGAATGGGTGGGCTGGGAAGAAATGTGAAGTGATAAAGATTGCTTACCAAAGATATCAATTCCAAGTTGAGCATAGATCGGAGAAAAAAATCCATCAACAAAGTGAATAAACCACCATGTTATATAGAAAGTTATTGCAATTGGAAATAGAATGACACTGCAAAACAGCCAGATGGTAACATGTAAAGGAATTAAAATACTTTTCAGCAATTTGAAACCTATCACCCTGCCAATTGTATTTTCTGAGTACAAAAAAAAAACAAAAACTTCATTCCATTTATAAAAAGAGAGCAAGAGCAAAATACAGAGTTGAGAATAAAGAACAAACCATCCGGTCATGAACTTTTTTGAGGCCCAGCTCCTAAAGACTCTGTAAAATGTCTGCACAGTATATAAAATAGATAGTTGAACCCACCATTGGTGATAGAAAAGATTAGTAATTTGAATCACAAGTAGTTACCTGTTCCAATTTTATATGATAGGAAAAGCTAAAACAAGCTCAATACATACAAAGAAGATTTTAACATTCTCCATCAGATAATTAAGTTAGTGATGTACACATCCATAGACATTCCAAATACATTATTAAAAAAATTTGTACTTCGAGCCAGGAAATCAAAATGTGAAATAGACATTTAAAAGATCGGAGTTTTTAACTTTCATACCAAGTAAATAATCTTTCATCGTGATTTATCGAATTCACGAGAATTGTTAATTTATTGGAATATGATCCAAAAATGTTAATTTATTGGAAGAAAGTCCATAGTCATAGGCGGGAAGATAAGATATCTTCTCAAAACTCAAAGCCAGGAGGACAACAAACACTCTCTAATTGACAGTTAAGGAGACAGTAGAATAGTTTAAGTCGTAATAAGCCGATCAGAGACTACACGGAGAGAACTGATTGACACCAATAGCTTTAATAGATGCAATGAATAGAAAGATGATCAACATCCTCGTCACTTTCATTTGTGGGCACGCAAAGTAGAGGAGACGTTTGGAGATTTTTTTTCAACCATCTCACGTGTGTTAATGCACTAAAGTGATACAAATCAAGGAACGAATTTAACCTTGCCCTTCCATACTAGTATCTCTAGGGAGGGGACTGAAGTAATAAAATAAAGTTTTAGAGAGTAGACTCCCGACTCGCCGAGGATCCATCAAAGTGAAGAGCGTATTTCAAACTATTGAACAAAGTTGATATAATTTCAGCTACAGTTCGAACCTCGTTACGTCCCATCAAGGAAGTAAACTCCAGCGTTGAGAAGATGACAATTGAGGACGATATAGTCAAAAATATATATTTGAATATTTGAAACCCTCGTCAGTGCAGAAGCACCTTCGCAATACCAAATTCGAAAAACTTCCACATGCATGATATGGTAGAGCCAATTAATTCAAACTAGATACGAAAAATCTCGTGCTCCCCTTGACATAACAATCCACCGAGCAAGACAAAGGAGAATACGAAGAGGAATACAAGTAGAAATGCATAAACTGAAGACCAATAAATCAGACGGAACCTAAAATAGCCTATGACAAACTGAAATTTCAATAAAATAAGCAATACCACTCGCTAGCTTCCAACAATCAGAACTGTAGGTAGAAGCATAGTAAAGTCAAGAGAAGTCGATGATACCTGGCGGCCAGTCTGCTGCGAGGACGATAAAGACGACGAGGGCTTGGCGGAGGCTTCGTCATTTGGCGAGCCAGTGACCGGAATTAGAAGCTCTAGGTCTCGCTCTCTATCTCTGCCCGCCATCACGATCGCCGCTTTGTCGTCTGCCATCTCCGGCGACCCCTATTGGGAAGATCGCCGTTCGCACAGCTTAAAAACCTTCGCCCCGAAGAACGAAGACTGCGAGCAACCCTTTGAAGTTTGAATTCAGAGAGAGGATTAAAATAGAAGTACTTTCAGACGACGAAGCACTTCGAAATACTCTCCAAGATGCTTGCCTTGCCTTGACTATTCTATTATTAACGTTTTAAGCTTATTTTATTAATAAATATTAACAAAATGCAAAGTACTTCGTTCATTGATGAGCAATCTTGTTTTTGTCTGACGACTGAGAAAGAGAAACGCAGAAAATAGGGAATTTTTATGAAATTTAACGATTTATCAAATTTTCAATCATGGTGAATATAATGTTAATTAGCAAAGTATTTTTCTAATGAAATTTTATGTTAAAACATAATATAAATTTTCATGCATAATTTTCTTTTACATGTCCGTAGAGTCAACCTCAACATAGTTTGATACTTATCTACAATCAAAATATTTTTAAATTTTCTTCCTCGTCCTTGTATTGTAAAAACTAGATTAAAGATTATACCAATTATTTAAAAACTTTCACTAAATGTTTGAGATAATGTAAAAATATATATTTATATTTATATTACGGAAAAATGTGCTCAGAATTGATATACAAATTGATCCACAAATCTATAACCTAGGCACAACTCACCAATCGAAGTCGAGCATACATACGACATGATGTGGCAATGTGGCTTGGTCGGAGACTCAATAAAAATGGGACCTTGGGTGAGTTTTCCGCAATTGGGAAGGTGTTGTTATTCTTGCAGACAACATATTCGTCGATAAGTGTGAAGATGCTAGAGGCTATAACTCTTTTGGATGGGAGGCAAATTTTGAAGTTTATGGTATCCTACCTAATTCAGATGGAGACTGATTCAGCTAGAATTGTGAAGTTGTTGCAAAGGGAATAAGATCTTATGGAAACGTGGATAATTAACGAAATATTGAATCTTCAAGGATTCGAGTAACGTCATCAGATTCAATGAGGTGGATAGGGATGACAATTTTTGTGTATGCTATCTAACGTCTTTGAATTAAAGGAATGAAATTTTTATTTCTAACTAATAATAATTATTTTGTATTGCATTTTGTTTGAACAATTCATTGAATAAAATTCAATACTTTTAAAAGTATGTCTCAAATAAGTTTTATTTAATACTTATCAAGAAATGTATTTTGTCTAACAAAACAAATGTATTTGTAAAAAAAAAATAAATAAACACCCGTATGTAGCAATTAACATTAAGTCAGGTTTTTATATCATATTATTATTTATGTTTTCTTTAAGAATTAATACATATGTTTAAATGTCAAAACAAGCATAGTTCAGCGTTAATTGACATATACTTCAAATCATAAGGTTGTGAGTTTGATCTCCCACGTACTACTAAAAATATATATATGTGTGTCTAAATAACTCAGATTGTGATTTTGTAACATAGTTTCATTCCACAATTTCTGGAGTAAAAAAAGAAGAATGATATTTTCTATTGGGCCACTGTTGGGCTTCAAAATGTGGCCCAATTTAGGCCGAGGAGAAGGTGCCGAGGCAAAGCGCGTTAGTAAATCAAAGTCAACTCAACCGTACGCTAGATCATCAATTGTTCTATTTGACTATCTTTAGTCTTGTAAACCGCCAATTACATACGCGCCACGCAAGGGCGGGGCTTCAGCCGGCAGCCGACCCCTGGTTAAATTATTCAAATTATGTTATTTAGAAAATTTTACTAAAATATTATTTTAGACCCGCGTAGTTTCGACTTTCATTCATTTGAACCATAAGAATGTTAATTTTGATACCTGTATTTTTAATTTTTATTTATTTTAGTCTCTTTATGTTTATTTTGATTTCTGTAGTTACTTTTAAAATTATTTTGGTCACTTAAAATTTATTTTTAATCTCTTTTTTATCAAAATTTCAACATAATATTGTTAGGGTCGTGAGGATAATGCAAATAAAGTTCTACGTTGGTCAGGAAAGATAATGATTCATGCTATATAAGATGGGATAATTATCTCCACTGATATGAGATGTCTTTTGATAAAATCAAAAGTAAAATCGTATCACTGTGAAGATACTTGTGATACTACTTTGGATTATGGGATACTGTTATCCCTAACAAATATTATCAAATTTAACCATAATTTACGTTGGATTTAGAAATTGTGTTAAAAATTTTGATAATTAGACCAAAATGGTAAGTTTTTTCATACATGGACTGAAATCAATCAAATTAAAATGGACAAAAATAAATATTTTGAATGTATGGGACCAAAAAGAAAGACAAAAAGATAAAAGGGGTTATTTGATTGATTGACACGTGAATGGAACGTGAGTGAAAATTCTGGAAAGAAAAAGAGAAAAAGGATACAAAAAGTTTGGAAGTATTCCATACGCAAAACACATCAAATCAGTAACCTTCGGCTGCGACTAGTCTGTGTAGGCGGTGGGTGTGAGAGAGATAGAGGGCTGTGTTCCAAATTGGCAGCCACAGCCATAGCCATTTCTTTTCTCCTGTGGCTCCAGTTATATAATAACCTTGGATTGGCAACAGGGCAGCAGCACAGCAGCCAATATATTTAATTCGATGTTGGAAGGGAAGGGCAGGGTGAAAGAAACCGACATGTCGGAGAAGATGCAGATTCACGCCATGGCCTCTGCATCTCACGCCCTCGATCTCTTCGACGTCTCCGATTGCCTCTCCCTCGCCGCCCATATCAAAAAGGAATTCGATCGCACTTATGGAGGTGGATGGCAATGCGTGGTGGGTTCCAATTTCGGCTCTTTCTTCACCCATTCCACCGCCACCTTCATCTATTTTGCCCTCGAAACTCTCAATTTTCTCATCTTTAAACCTCCTCCTTAAATCTTGAACCTCAGCTTGTAATATGTGTATCATATCATCCTTTCCTTTACTTGGCGTTCTCTTCCTCCCTTCATAAACTTCTCCTTGTAATAAGATTATTGTTCAATATTATCATTGCTTTACACGATTTTTCTTATTTATTGTTAATTTCGTGGTTTCCAGAATTGGTTTTTGTTTTAGAAAGTTATTCCAGAGTTTGACAACGCAACGTTGGAGAATGAACCCCTTCAAATGTATCCTTCAGAGCCCGGTTTCATAACGTAACTTATTGTTTTCTATTATAATCATTTTGTATGCATTGTAATTTAGTATTCTGAAATTTTGTTACCAAATTTTAGAAAATATAACAAATATTCATAAAAAAGTCTAATTTTAAAAAATTTAATGGCAATCAAATTTCACTTGTGTGTTTGAAGATTGGTATAAAATAAATAAAGAATACTCGGGGAACACGTCCTATGTAAAAATATAAAAAAGAAGAAAATATAAAACAAAAAACAAATTTTAAAAAGAAATAGCGTCCCTTTTTTTCTTTGGTAATTAAGAAAATAGAAGAAACAAGGAAAAATTAAGCAGAGACGAGAAAAGTGTTGCTCAAAAATAGGATTTTCTTAAAAATAGTGGTATGGGGTGTATTTTGAATCTCAACTCGAATATCTTAGAGATGGGGATAGACTCATGACTTCGTAGGAAAAGTTTAGTTCGACCTCGACTCGAGGAATCAAAGATTCTAATCGATAGAAAATATGCTTACATGTATGTAGTTTCAGTGGCTACAATTCTCGACACTCCCCTCTCATAAAATGTGGAGTATCACCTTTCTCAAAGGTACATAATCCTCCGCCATTAAATTTAGTTTGATTCAACACCAATTCCTACTCAGTGCTAACTTAAGCAGCACGTGGTTAAGTAAGTACATGTACATTCTAGCTAAGTTCATATTAGAGTCACCTAAGATGACAACTTGACACCCAACGCATATAAAAAAGAAAGGAAAAGTACAGTGGCTATCAAAAATCTTTTATATATTTTAAAATATATCACATGTTTTTTAAACTTTTCAAATATAACACAAATTTTTACTCATATCAATAGTATATTAGATATATAAGATATTCATAGTATATCACATATATATCAGTATTTAGATATATTACAAATGTATATCATTTAGATAAGTTTATCGTTTTAAAATTAGGCATTCGTTTAAAAAAAAAAACTATATTAAGATGTTAAAAAAGATAAATCAAATTATCAACCTTGAGTTGAGCTTTAACTCAAGGTGATTCACAATCCAGACGTCATAATCCTCCATTCATTTTATGAAGAAGAAATCTTAAAAAGATCCAAAGAAAAATGCATGAGAAGAGAATAAACTTTAATTCCGAAAAGAAAAGAAAGCACTTTTTTACGTTTCCTCATGGACGAGGACAAAGGTCGCAGTCTCTGGCGTGTGGGATGGGAAATTGGGAATGGGAATCCTGTTATTCTGCAAAGCGTCACATCGTTCCGGTCAGTTTTCTGTATGTAAACTTTTTTGTATTCTTCCAATCACAAATGAATGATCACAATTGCATTATTGAATCTTCAATTTTCTTTCCCAAAAAGCTACACGACGACCAATTTCCTGATTCCCTCCACCACGTCTTTCTCCATCGCCACCTGATTCAAGCTGCCAAAATTTACACCAAATACAATCCAAAAAATGCCCATTTCATTCCTCGCCTAAATAAGAGGTTCGTTCCCCTTTTCTGTTATGTCTTCTTCGACAAATATGCATGAGAAAGAATTAACAGATTTTGGGTTATGTAAAACAGAAGATACAGTGTTCTGATTTTTATTATATGAAGGACTCCTCAATCAGTCCATTCAAAATCAGTTTCTCTATGTCATTTACAACTTCTTCACTTTCACTTCTGGAGAATCCATTCTTCCAACCCAAATCCCACATTCCATTACTCACTTCTTTACACCATACATCTCTCTCTAGCACTGCATGTAGAGTGTCTATGCCACGAATTGTTTGATAACTCGTAAGAGTATCGATGTCGTCGCACACTTCCTCGACGAGTTTTTCTACAGAAATTTCTATCTTTGTATTGCTCCTATATCCTAGAAATAAAGAATTGCATACTTGTATGTCGGGATGGCATTTACGTTTCATGAGTTCGATTGCACAATCTATAAGATGTTTTGCATTGGGGGTTTTGGGGTCATTGCAGCAAGATGTATGCAGCATTGTTCTGCCATTTAGTTTGAGATCAAAAAGCTCCTCTGCTTGACTGAGGAATGAGGAACTTCTAAGAAACAATGCTTTCAGATTGGTTCCTTGATTGCAGCTTTTGGTATCTGTTTCTGTCCGAGTGTTGAGATGGAGATCAATAACTTCTTCAGTACTCGTGTCTATTTCGAGTTTGGGGCTCAACGGCGAGAGAGAGTTTGGGCTCTCCTTGCAGCATTCTACAATATTTAGGAACAATTAAGTATAAATCATAAGCATTTTAGACAATGTACAAGTACTGAATTAGCTTGTTCTACTTGGGATTCAAAGTTATTCAATCTCACTTAGAATCTCTCCTGGATGAAGATATATGAGTTATATATGCATATATATGGGAATGGAGGATGAATGCATTTTTCCTTTCCTTTTTGGGGTTGTATGTTAATGAACTTCAAGCCAAATAACAGACTGATTTAAGACAAATGGTAATAAGAACAACATTAGATACTGCAACCAATCTTTTTTGCGATGGACAATTTACCTATAATCTTTGTATCACATTCGTCGGTTTCCTCCTCCATAGTAATTAAAGCCATAAGGGTACTAGTGTTTCGATTTTTACTTTTTGGAAGTTCGACATTTTCATTTGTATCAGTACTCCTATCATCTTCTTTGGCTTCAACAATGCGGGTCTGCCAGATAAACACTGCATAAAGGATACTGAAGCACAAAAGAACAGAGTTCCATAAACCAAAAGTAAGGATAGGTAAAAACTCACAAGTGATTTAGCCTCTGACCGTGCAAGCACTGGTTTCTCCTTTTTCCGACAGTCACAATCAATAGACGTCGTTCTTACTGCTCGTCCCGACACAGAATCTGAAATGGAGCTACATTTTTTATGAGTTCTATTCTTTCTTGGATTAGTGGAGGTTACTTTTTCTTGATGCTGTGATCTTGACACAACTTTTTCTTTTGCAACAAATTCCTTCTTCACTGGTTTTCTAGTTGCTGCAGTCACTTTCTTTGATGTTAGGACTTTCTTATCATGCATTATACTAGATGGTTTCAACTTCTCCGCATCCTTTTTATTAGTATCTACGTCACCCTTTCTTAATTTCCAAACTTCTTCTTTACGTTTTGGGATTCTTTCTTCCTGAGCAATCTGTTTGAGTGGAATCCGTTCTGCCGCTTGCTTTCTATGAAATTTATCTGAACTCAAGATTCCTCCATGGAGATCAGAGTCATCGAATGACCAACAAAGTTCTTTCTTTTTCATTTTTCTTAGGATAGCTTTTTGGTTGAAAGCTTCCTCTTTCAGAGAGACGCGTGCTCGGTGTTCCTCCAACTCATTAGATGGAAGAGGCATGGGCTTTATCAACACAATTGGTGGTACATCTTTCAACCTTTGTTTGGAACCGTTGTTATGAAGCTTGAACTCTATATCAGAATCACTTTCTGTAAGCCTATTGAAGGGCATTGTTTCAAGTATTTCTCTCAAGGTTCCCTTTTCAGAATCCTTCTTGTCAACGACAGATTTAGACTTCGGTGCATTCAACGTATCAATGCGAAACAGAGATCTCCTATAACCAGAGATCTTTGTAAACTCAAACTCTTTCTTTAGAGTGGTTTGCTCTGGCCTTGATGAAATTTCTTCTAGCCCCATAAGCTTAGCAATTAGGTTACTACCTTTCAAATTCCTCTGTACAGATGTTGAAACATGGCAACAGTCCACATTATCATTAGCCATCGAAGACTGGCTGGAGCTAGTCGACGTGATTTCCAACCTCGAGTCGGAATTTATATCACGAAAACAAGATTTTTCACCAACTGTTGCATCACACGCCACGTCTCGCCTCACTAGGCTGTCTTTGATCACCTTTTTAATCTCATCAGCACCATCTGTGGAAGAACCATACCTTGAAAGCTTTGATCTTTGAACCTCAACTGGAAAACTTTGTTCTTCAAGATGACAAGAAACACTTCTTTGGTACTTCATCTTTAACTGAACCGACTGGTTCGAAGCTTCTTGCAACTTGGCCAGCATGATCAGCGACTCTTTTAAACTTGAAGTTCCTTCCAACAAATCCTCAGCAATGTCCTCGGATTTCCTGTCAGATCTCACCCCCTTAGACCATGAATCAAACATCTGGTTCAACTTCTCGTTTCCTCGGTAGACCTCCACGAGTGGAAGGGGAGATTGGCTATGAAACCTCTTACTCTTCCCTTTGGTGATCGGCTCCTCTTTCTCTACCTTAGATACCAAAGCCTTGTTTGGATTTCTACTAGTCCTATGGGTTTTAATCTTTTGTTCCATCCTCTGAGAATTTACTTTGGATTTCCTGATTATACTGCAATCAACCACCCCTTTTGGATCATCACAAGTGATAAATGATCTGTAAACCACTGATTTTACACCATCCAGAGGCATTTTCTCCCTCAGAAAAAAAAAATTACATTGACAGGGTCAGTTTCTAGTTGAAAAGTAAAGAATTCGAATTCCACTCAGTCCCAGACAATTTCCCTTAAAATATCTCCATGAAGAATCCTTCTACACACGCTAATGCTCGGACGGCTGTGTTCAAAAGAAAACAAAGCAAAACGGTTCATCAGATGAGCCAAAACAAACAAACGTGGGGAGGGGGGAAGGTTGATAATTTCAAACTCCACAACTTGATCAGCAGAAAGATTTCGAATATATAAACTACCTTTGTTTGATCTTCCCCTGAAGAAGCTTATTGAACTCCACACAGCTACTCTCTCTCACACACACAGTATTCTACACCATTTCCCCTCTATGTCGTAAACCATAACCAAAGAAGCAAAATTGAGAGAGGAAAAGGACGAAAACAGAGGAAACTTACGAAACCCAGAAGAGAACGAAGCGGAAAAGACACAAATTTGCAGAGAATTGCGACCCCCATGTGAAGTTACAGAGCACTAAAACGAAAGAGAAGCAGAGGGAGTCGGTGCATTGACTTCGTGGCAGCTGTAGCGGTAAGTTTCAAAGCAGAGCCGGGGAGGGAAGGAAATAGAGAGAGAGAAAGTCCAAGATTTGGAGCTCATATTTAATTTTAAAATAAAAGTTGGGGTTTCTTTTCCACGGGACAGCAAAATCGTTGAGAGATCATTACTTGTCATAAATGGGGCACACTTGGTTTTTGCCATACGTGTTTCTGCAGAGCCCTGAAGCAGCAAACTCCGTTTTTGAAAATAAAAAACAAAACAAAACCATGCTACTGAATCAGCAGAACCCTTCTTCACGTAACCTCCAGTTTTTCATGGAGCTCTGATTTTCAGAGTTTTGAACAAACCCAGACATTTTAAACAGGACAAGAGAGAGAGATATCTTGGGAATCGATTTCTTTTAATACATTGTTTACAGTGATTCTGTAGAAACATGTTTCTTGATATGAACCCAGAAGACAGAAATTTAAATGCAGTGACAGAGACACAGAGATGAGTTGTAAATGTAATATTGCTTCGTGGTAAAATTGTTCTCCAATCTGAAAATTAGTGATTAAGCCATTTTACCCCTTTCTAAAAGAACAGTTTCCTTTTTTTCTTTTCACTTTCATGGTACGAAATAAATGACGATGCCATGGCATGGCTTGCCGACCGAAGTTTGTGGGTGATTTTGTTGACCTTCGCTGCCGAGTCACTGAGTTTCCGGTAAAACAGGCCATGATTCTGGGTCGTTGATAATTAATTAATGTGTGGTTGGGTTCTTTTTTTAATTGAAAAAACAGCCGAAATGACGAGGTCTTTTTATTATTGTTCGTAGAAAAAGACAAGAGCCTTCAAAATCCAAACATAACTTTTAAAGTAGCTTACAATTTACATTAGTTTGATTTTGTTTAGGTTACTTTTATAGAATGTAAAATTTATAACATCTAAAAATAAAGAATTTGTAATGGATAGCGTAAGACTTACCTATATTTGTAAAAATATCAATAATTTTTGGAATTTGTAACTATGACAAAAGATTTGAATTTTATTTTCGAAATTTTATATATTGCAGGTATATAAGATATATAAGAATAAGATAATCATATCATAATATATATCAGTGATATATTAATGAGGTACATGTATTAGACGTATATCAAGTTTTAGGTAGGGTATATTTGACATTTTATTATTTAGATCTCTGTTTTTTTTTTCCATTTAATGTGCTATATTTGCAAAATTTAGATGTTAATGCTACATGTAGTATTTTGTTGCCGTATTTTCAAGTGATCCTTAAAAATGCTTATTTATTCGATGTTATTTATATAAATGTTTCTTGTATTATTAAAAATGATTAACAAAACAGTAATCATCAATATTATCAACTATAGCATTCATCCATGTAGTTTATCACATAAACATATTTTTCTTTGGCTTAAAAAAAGTCAATTTCTAATCGAAATTATGGAAATTTTTAACTTTAAGCAAGGCTCCAATGTTGTTATTGACATTTTACCCGAAAACATTAATAAGGCCTATAGTTCAATCATCATCGAAATGTTTTTGCTAATGTGAAAGTACAACTATGCATTTATTTTTATTTTTCCATAATGGGAAGAAATCTTTAATTAAAGAGTAGTTTATGACTTGGATCCCAATTGAAATGACGTATTAAAATATTTGCGTGACACTGAAATATTTAGAACTTATTAAGAATAAAATAACAATAAGAATATCTTAGAGCCTATCTAGTCTAGTCACCAATTTTTCTTGTCTTTATTAAATACATACTTCCTGCCAAATTCAGCCATACATAATCTATTAATATAGACTGAGATATTTTCGATTTGAAAATTGATATTATGTTAAAATACTAGGTTGATCTTACACTTTAAATCTTAATTCATTTAAGTCCCTGTATTTTGAAAATATTATTTTTTGATTCTTACACTTTTAACTTTGATTCATTCCCGCCAAAGCGAGCATAACTCAGCAGTAATTGACATATACCTCAAACATTTTAAGAGATATATTGAGTATAACATCATGTTAAAATTATAATAGAAAAAATGAGATTAAAAATAAAAAAAAAGTGATAAAATTAATCATTTTTTAAAAGTATAGGACTAAAATGAACATTTTTTGAAATTAGAAAGACCAAAATGAACAAATATTGAAAATATTGAAACCAAAATGAATCGAAGTTGAAAATACAATTATCAAAATAGTATTTTAATTTATCAAAGCTCTATAATTAATCATGCTCAGGCGAGACTAGTACTATGTTTTGCACCACTTTTAACCATTAAAGAAATCTCAAGCTAATATTTTAAGATATCTAAGATAATGGCTAAGAATATGCCAATACAATGCATTATCAAGAGCTGATTTTATTGATTCTTTTTATTTTGTCAAGCTATTTGTTTAGTTCGCTTGAGGAGGGAAAATATATCACTCCCAAGTTTTGATTTTCTATGGCGCCCTCGCTTTTGATGAGAAAGAGAAACCTGAAAATGCAATAAACCCAAAACAATAAAGCAAACCAAAAAGGAAAATTTTCAACTCCAAAAGCTTAAACACCATGGGATGGGATATGCACCTGGAAATGAAATGTGGAATTTGGACCTTTTGATCGCACAGATAACCCATCACCAGCTGGTAATAATGATGTACAAACCCATGCAAAGAAGAAGATTGTTAAGAAAAATTATAAAAAATCTCATTTTCAGAAAACCCTATAAACGAAACTCAATCGAACGAATGGAAGCGAACCAACTTCTTATCATTTAAACTCAAACTCAAACTCAAACATGGTTAGTGTAGCTGGATTGCAATAGAACTTTTAACATTAAGAACTTAATCTTTACCTCTTTGAAGCCCACCTAAAGTTTTCTCCTTGTCATTTTTGTTTGAAGTGAATCCAGGACTCAAGTTTTTAGCTGGAGACAAATTATAAGTATAGAATTTGTACAACAGAACTGGCATTGGCTTCTCTGTACAAATCTCCGGCCTACAGTTACCAACAGTCTTTGTGAATGGAAGATCGATCGAGTCCCTGTACTGGTTGACACTATAATCAAGCCACCAGACATACTTTATTTACACGTGCTGATTGTTGAAAAATAAGAGCCAGCAAAAAAGAAGGCGCACCTTGAACTTTGACTTGATTTTTCACCATTTTTGCTGACTGGAACAGCAGAATCATAAAAATTAATAGCTTTATATTGTTATGTTTAAAAGAGATGAAAAACTGGTTCAATTACAAGTTTAGTATCTAATGTTTTTGGGTTCTGTCTAATTCGTCCTTGAACTTTAAAAAATATCTATTAAGTTCATAAACTTCCATTTTTGTGTCCACAAAAAAGCTCTCTAAATTTTCAAAATATTGTATCTAATAGGACACCGAATCTTATTTTTATATCTAATAGAACTGTGAATATTAAAAAATATCAAGTAGCTCAAGGACGCAAACTTAAAAGTTGGGAGAATCAAAAGTTAAAGAGACCTATTAAACACTTTTTAAAGCTCAATGACCAATTAGACACGCTAACGAACTAAACTTTTAATTTAACTTGAAAAATGAAATAAGCGTTGAGGGAGAGTAATTGCTCACCAGTTGAGACATATTGGGGATGATACCTTGGCAGGATCTCGCTCCATCGAAGCCTGGACATTTCAAGCTTTCGCGCATACTGTTCGCAGGAGAAGAGCCTCTGCCAAAAAGAAAAGGTTCTTAGTGAAAAAAACATCCTAAAGCTTATGTCTGAAGAGTGTTGTTAGTATGGAATGGGACAAGGGTACATACTTGGTTTAAGCAACTCAATCGAAGCTCGACTTCATTGAAGGCATTAGTCTGAGAAATGCAGCTCTCTAAATTGGAAGTGACACTTCCAAGATGGTCAACCACCGTTACCATGGCCCTGCATATGTACTCTTTTGTATTTTCTACCACCCTGCAGTTCAAAACCAGTCTCATTTTTTACTCCATCTATGTTATGGGAGTGTTTAGGTCAAAGCTTAAAAGTACTTTTAAAGCTAAAGTATTATATTTAGAAAAGTCTTGGAAATGCTTTTTAAAGAAAACAACTGAGATGTATTTTTCTGGTTAAGTTTTTAGCTTTAAACATTTTTCTTCAGTCTCTCAAAATATACATTACTTTTCACACATTATTCGCCTTTTCTAATTTTTCCCTCCAAACACTCACTAACTTTTTTCTACCGACACTTTCTCTTCACACAAATTTCTCTCTCATATTAATTATTCAAAAAAAACATTTCTCATAAAGAGGAGAGACTCACTCGTTCTTTTCTTTAGTCTTCAAGAACGTTGATTCACAGTAATCTGCCGCTTGATGAAGCTGGGAACGCAATCCTTTTAGTTCCTGAAACCCAAATACCAATAATAAAAAAAAAGACATAACCCAGTAAAGTTCCTGCATGTTATAACCATCCCTTGGTGTTTCTTTTTTCTGCAGAGAGTTCGAATATCGAAAAAACGAAAAACCCAGTAAAGTTCACACAAAGTTTGATCAGAAAAATGCATTTTTTCCGGCAAAGATTTAGGATCAAATAATGGAGAAAGGTGTACCAGGAGAGCATTCTGAAAGCGAGTAGCTTCCTCGGCCTCCGTTTCTGCATTCAAACCACCAGAAGATATGAAACTCTGCATTCTCCTCTTCGTGCCTGAACAGATTCCAAAAGATAAAACGGTTGCAAAAAAAACTCTCTGGCTGGCTATTTTTATTTGGTAAGCCAAGAGGAAGAAGAGAAAGTGCCTCTTGTCTCTAAGCGGAGGAAGATAATGACTGTGGCCCTGTGATGCATCGATTCATTCAAATCAAATTTGGAATGGTATAAAAAGCAACAGAAAAAGTCCGAAAACGATTGAAGGGAGAGAATCTGACAATACTCTGAATCAAAAACAAACGAAAAAAATGAGAAAATGACAGAGATTGTTTCAGCCCGTGACTTCTATGTGTATCCAATAGCTGATTGACACCATCACTTCTTCGTTATCTTTTTAAGATTGTAAATAACCGCTGAAAGGCCTTTTTACACGAATATCGACAAAAGGTACAATTTTTACTATTTCAAGAAGGCTACTGCTGCATGAATAAGTGTCGTTGCTGAATGCTAAAATTTTGAAACTTGCATTCTCGTGACCACTTTTCTTACGATCAACCTTTTTCCCTTTCTTTTCATTACTCATTCATATGTTAGGTAAAGAATATCCGAGCTACAGCACTGAGATCTCGAAAGAAAAATGGAAAATTTGGTATGCTGGGCCAACCATGGAAGATATCCACCCTTCTTTTTCTTTTGTTTTTTCATATTTGGAAGTCAATAGTGCAGCCACCAAGCTTCTCTGCGGCCACTATTTCTAAGAGTAAGCTACTTTTGTTCAAGAACACAGCTGCAGAAAATATCTGTTTGAGACTTTTGTAATTTTCCTGTGATGAATTCCTCGTGCGGACTTGGCTCGAGGGTTGTTTCTTGATATCGACTTCAGCTCGAGTTCTTGAGTTTCCTTTGCTGAGAAGAGGCTCTGATTCTGTTCAAATAATGATGTGCTGATCAGATTAACAGAGAAATAGCTAAGGTTTGAAAGAGAGGTATATACATAATTTATAAATAATGGCCTGGCACAAACCAAGTGTTGAATCTACTTCTATAAATGACGTGCCACAACCAAGCTACATTAATATCATAGGTTGAATAGTAAAGTTTAGTAAAACTTTATGACCGTGAATGTATATGTCAATTTACACACACCTAATTATTCTCACGCGAAAATCGTTTTGATCCCACAATACTTGACATTGAGATACTCAAAAGTTATTTAACATTTTACAAAGACTCCTATTACGATTTTGAAGCCATGACTTCAAAGACAATGATAGCCAGCTAAAATGTGATTCCGGAATCATTAAGTACCTTCAATTTTGAGGGGAGACTCTTGCCTCACCATGTGTGATTGAGAATTCCCTCTTGTAACACATAACCATTTTCTATCTTCTTCATAACTATGCTCTGATGCAATGGGCACATGCCAATGTCCTTTCTCCGATTCCTGTTAACAAGTTTTACAATGAAATGTAATATTAAATATTAATTCTTGAGCTTATGACAAAAGGTATGCATATAGAGACAAGCCACCACATTTCTTCTGTTCCTTATCACATAAAGACATGTTTGTATGTTTGAAATCTATGATTGTGACTTATTCTAATAGGTTTGTACCTGAATTACGACAGAACAGGGTGGAGGCATGTGAAATACTGGACCAGTAGCAGAGAAACTAAAATGCACCTGTCAATACGAATCCGAGAACACGTCTGTATAAGCCATCATTTAAAATAACTTCTGCCAAGGATTTACTTAGATATGGCAATGGAAACGGGAAGCATTGGACAGGAAAATTAAGTTGGGAGAAAAACCTATTTATTAAGGGAGTTCCCTTTAGAGAAGCTTTACTCACTTGATGCCTTTCTTTCCATCTGGGGAAGAAATCGTTTCCAAGAAGTTGGAATGTATGATCTCTCATCTCATCATTCGTCACGATTAAGCACTTGAATTTGATTGCTGCATACAACCAGTACCTGAAGAACATGTTAGTTAACGAAGATGCATATATCTTTGTAGTTTCTACAGGTAGATGTCATAGTTGAGGAGTTCTTTCTCACCAATCATCATTTGACCCAGTAGGCGTTGCATATAGTGCATCGGCATTTTTCCACTTCTCGATCAATGTTTTATTTACTGGTTCATCCATCTTACGTCCAGTGATTCGCCTGTTATGCAATACAATCAGAGGCCACTTCTTTGAAGGAAGCTTCTGCCGTATCCCGTTGGCAATTAGATGGACCTAAAGCAATGGCCAGAAATAAGACCCCACGATAAAAAAAAATGGTTCAAATAACTAGTATGATTGTGTTGATAACTTACTTTAGATGGTGTGAATTTTCTTTGGCTAAATAGGCCAACATTTGCGGCATCTATCACTGCTTCAAATGGTCCATAATATTCTAGCCATTTCTGCAAGAAGATAAAATTGCTTCATTAAAAATTTTAGAACCTCAAGGTTATGAATACTAATAGACAAAGGATTTCTCATACTTGAAATTTCTGAAAACTTGAATTTTTCTCTTTTTGTGTGGCTATAGTTGCAACAGATTCAGCAAAATTCTCAGTTTCAATAGGATCCAGATCAATTGTTGCCAATTTTTCCCGACAGGATTTACACAAGCCATCCTTTCCAACATTCGTAGATGAAACACTCCATTTACCTCTTCCCAACCATCCCAGTCCATGCCAACCTCCACCCCCATTTTCTATAGCTTTCTTTATCTTTTCTTGATTCAGTTTTACTTTTCCCACTTTTGCAGCATCCTTGCTCTTGAACCAGGTAACAATAAGATCTGCAGTAGAGGGTGATACTTGTCTTACACTTGTTCTTAGTTTATGCAACAAATAATACACCTTCTCGGCTTTACTTGCATTTATACTTACTCTTAAAAGTGCTGCTAACTCAGGCTCCTCTGGATAGACACCATGCTCCAACATGTGCTTCTCAACTGAAAATGCTTTATCTACTTCCCCATTATTGCAGAATGCAGATAGGGCAGGGCCATAAGATCGCAACCGAGGACTAAGTCCTAATGGCTTCATCTGCTTTACCATAGCAAAGGCCATATCACCATCACCCATGGACATTGCCATTCTGGCCATAGATGTCAAGGTTGCTTCATTCATTGGGATCTTTTCCACGCACATTTTCTGATAGATCTCGAATCCTCTTTCGAGAGCATATTTTTTAAAATGCTCATCCACCAATTTATTTGAATGTCTCTTCTCATCTAAAATCCAAACTTTAGGCACCATAGACCCATTTGTAAATTGAACTATATTCTCCTTATTGTCAATTCCATCCAATTTACTTCTATCATTTTTGGTATTCAACTCTGTCCATCCAACACTTCCACGACCTTCACTCTTTGAAACAGAATTCATCTTTGAATGTTCTTCATCTAGATTAATGGGATTTTCAAAAGAAGGCACCACAGACAGAGATAATGAATTCGAAGTTCGGTTACCACGACCACTTTTAGCGGGCTGAATAACACCCAAAGCTGCCGAGGAACAAAGATACAAAATGACAGCATAATGATATTGCTCCAGCTTAATTCCTTCCCTTTGAGCCCACTCATACAATTCAATTGCGCCCATAAAATCCCCTGCCTTAGAGCACATATCCAAGTTCGCTCTCAGTGAGATTTCGTTATTCCCTTTAGAAAACTTCCCCCTCTCCTCAACCACCCGATTTCGCTTGCTCTTTTCCTTAATCTTCTCACCATTCCTTAAACCCCCAGAAGCTTTCAGTGAACCACTACTACTTCTAGACTTGAGAAAAGAAACCCCAGAACCCATTCTCGTTCCTTCACGAGAACCCGAGCTATTCCTAGTGTTTTTCTCATTTTTCTCCTCCACTTCCGAATCAACAAATTCTTCCACAGATTTCTTGACCAGGGTTTCATTTCCAGACCCAAAATGACGAGACCCAGTTTCGCTTAGCTTCTGGGTCATCAAAGACGAAGGTCTTTTCGAAGGTTTACGGTCTCTGCTTGTGGGAGAAAACTTTCGTGGAAGTCCATCTCCTACTAGAACTAAACGAAGTGCGTGTTTGGGAGGAAAGAAAGTGGGAAAATAAGACGAACACGGGCAATTGAAGGAAGTGAGAGTTGATGGGAACTTACAGAGAGCGTTGGAGGAGGAAGGCTGTACAGAAATGGAGGAAGAGGAGGCCATTTGTGGGCGTTGGAAGCACCATGCCATTGATGCTGATATGGTTCCATGTTCCAACACGATGATAAGTTGGCCGTGTCATCAATAACTCCCCGCGCGGTGAGAGAAACTGGTCTACGTGGCATATAATTATCACTATCATAATCCCATTTATTAGTTGGAAGTAAAATAATTAAAATTAAGAGAGAAAAATCATTTTTTTAATACCGGTGGGTGTGGACACGGCATATTTAATATAATACTGAAATGACAAGTAATGAAAGAAAGAGAGTAATATATTCCCGTGCTATCAAAAAATTTCTCAAATTAAGATGTGAGGTTTGACCAAATTTAAAACAATAGTTAGTTGTGGACCAATAATCTTGGCATTTCTTCCAACTGTTACTAAAAATTTGATAATTTTTTAATACCTAAAAAATATATATTTTTAGGTTTATCTTTTTCTTATTTGTTAAAGTATTAAACCGCAAGTATTTAAGTTTTTTCTTTTAAAATACATTGATGTAAACTATGTGTATGTATTTACATATATATAGGTAAAGATAATTTTTTGTCTAAAATCCATCTAATAAATTAAAAAATAATAAAAACATAAAATCGAATTCTCAGTTGGAGATATATACCAACTACCGCTGAACTATGTTTGCTTTCACAAATATAATCTAACCAGTTAAAATATATATTAAAGTAAAACTAATTTGATTTGATTTTAATTATTATTTTGATTTGGTTTCGTACACCACATTCATGTTCAATCTATGAATACCTCAATTTGTTTAAGGGATACGTATACAGCAATTGACATCTCATATATTACCATATAGTTGTACTAAAACAAATAAATATAGAATAAATAATTATTGCAAATTCAGTTTCATGGATTCAATAATATTTTGATGTAATTATTTCATTTGGAAGCATCAACTATCTCAGTCAAATAGAGTATAAGTTCAACAATAATTGACGTTTATCTTCAATCAAGAGGTTGTAGGTTCGATCTCTCACCCCTACATATTGTATTAAAAAAATTGATATCTATGTCCAACTAAAAAGTTGTAAATTCGATCTTCCACCTCACATGTTGTACTAAAAAAAAGTATGTATCTCAAGATTATATTAGTGAAATTCATATTTGTTGTTAAAATAAATTAGGTCCACACCAATAATTTTATTCAATTGACCTAATATAAAATTTTTAATACAACAAATATGATAGAGAGAGCTAATCCTCCTGAAGAAGATGTCAATTAGGTTTATGTGGGCTTTAGTCCAATCTCTTCTCCAAAATACAATGAAGTGAATAACTCCATTAATTTTTAAATGATGAATTTGTTCGAAGATATTTCAAATACTATTCTTAACAAATAACTCTATTCAAAATATGCATTCTCACATAACTTTTTTCTAATTTTAAAAAAAATCACATTATAATTCCTGTGCTTCAGTTCTCCTTCTGTTTTATGTTAAAAAGTTTGAAATCTCCCTCAACAAAAGACCACTTCATCTCTTTCTTTTAGGGGTCAATCCAAATTCAAGCCCTTATCAAATCATCACGAGAGTGACAGAATTACTGAAAATGCATAATGATGCTAATCTTTTATTTTATTGATCATCAAATGGGATGAATTATTGCTCTTTGTATCTATCTTTTACAATGATTAGCAATTACGGGATCTCAATCTACAATTGAAACTCAAAATTCGCCTCGAATTCTAACAATGATATAAAAACGAATCAGATATATTAAAATGAGGCCACCAACTAACTTGAACAGACCAGTCCCAGAAAGCAATCCTGAATGAACAATGGACAGCAACAACTGAGATGGAGCAAGCAACACACCAGTTGCTTTCATGAGCTCATTCTATAGTTCTCTGTCAACTTGTCGTTTACTCTTACCATTTTCAGGAAGGGGTAGGATTTTGGGGGGCAAATCGTTAGGACGACGAGCTACTGTTCCAAATGGTGGTATTCTGGGTGCCGAGAGAGTGACGTTCTTCCCGACCCCATTGCTAATGGTTCTCTGTTGGCAACCGCCATTTGAGGTGCTGCTATGATTTTCATTCTTCGCTTCGCTTCTGGAAGTGAAATTTCTTTCTGCAATGTCCATATTCAATTCAAGAGCATGGTTAAATACACAAACCAGAAGGACTATTTGCACTCTACTGGAGCATCCACATTAGAAACTAGAACATGGGTTATATCGGGCTATGTCTAATTCAATTGTCAGTCTCACCGAGTGTTACTAGTTGAATCAAAGAGAGAATTAAGGACCATAACAAAAGGTATAAGCATGGTTTTTTAGATTTATCCAGCAGATTCAGTAATATGCTAGGGTAGAAATCAGTTTCTGGAATTTTAAATGTGAAATGTTACTGCAGATATATTTCAATAATTCCTTCTGAGTTTCTTGTCTTCTACATGGTTATATAATTAGCTTATCAAGCATCAGAACACAAGCTTACCTTTTATCTCGCCAAGAGTGATGAGTTTATTAAGACAATCTCGAAACTTTGTCAACACAATATTTTCCTGTTCTACATAGACTTCTGACGCAGACTTATCAGGCACATGTGATGACGTGTTGCAACCATGGCCTGCCAACCCATTGGCTGGAGAAGCTCTCATGAACATTGTATCGCGTTCGTCACACATTAAAGCTAAAGTTCCAGGGGACATTGGCCTTGCTCTTGTCAGATCCGAACTATCTGAATTGGAATTATCATTTACAATTCTATCACCTTCGTTTGTACTTCCACGCTCGCCATCTTCAGCTTTCTCATCTGCCTTCTGATGCTGTGACCTATCTTCAGTTGATGAAGCAAGGGAAATTTGTAGTGGATCAATTATCTGCTTCTCAGAAATTCTTTGTCCTGGACATATAAGTAAAGAGTTCTCATTGGGTGGTCTACACCATTTTTAAGGTTTAAATTTGCAATAAATAAGCAAAGAGCCTTGAAACTTATGCCAGAGTTCCACCAGAAAGTAGAAAGTGTATGCACCACACTGCCGCATTAATGGCAATTTCGGATCAAATAATTACCAAAGTCAAATTCCAACCTAGTTAAAAAAATGACAACCTCGTAATCTAGGAAGTGCCATATAGTTAGTAAGTTTGGCACATCTACTGAAGGAAGTTGGGAAGGGGATGAGCTTTCAGAGATGAGAGTAAGAAGTTTTAAAGCACGTATTCCTAGATCCTTGCAATACCAAATTGTGAAAACACGTTACCTGCTATAGTCTTGGCAGCTTCACTTGATAACACCACTAAAACTGAGCAAAGCTCCTTCAGGTCCTGCGGCTGGATGAGGTCTGCTAATAAGGACCTTCAAGAATGATACCTGTTTAGTTCAAAAAGCAGGCAGGTCGACTGAATCACTACAAAATCCAGCAGTTATACAACAGGTACCTGAACGAAAACTTTGAAGGCCCTGGTGCTGCCGAGCTGCCAACATGACCAAAAGGGAGGGAAGATGATGTAGAAGTGCCAGAAGACATTATATTATTAGCCTGATAAACACAAAAAAAATGAAGTTAGTACCTAGATCACGAGTCCTAACTCACTAAAATGTGACATTTCAAACGCATACCAAAAAAGGAAAAGAAAAAAGAAGTTTTAGCTCCCTCCAGAACAAACTACAACTAGTCTACACATAGCTTAGGTATCTTAGAGGTTGAAGGTTTAATCTCCCACCCCACAATTGTCGAGCTTAAAAGAAAAAGGAAAAAGGAATAGACTGCTCAATGAAGAAACTAATATTTTTACAAATTATGATGTTAGCTGTTAATATCAGAAAACATAATTTTATTTTTTTGAAGACTCTACCTGATGAAATTGTGGCATGCTGTTGAGGGGAGGATCCTTCCCCGTAGGCCCAAAGCACAGCTCTTGGCCTTTCCTTTTCTTTGGAATTTGAAGGCATGCATAACCAGAGGATCCAATAGCTCCAGTTATTGCAGCATTGGCTGCCTGCTGAATATAAGCCATATTGTTGACGTGGTCACCATGGAAAAGAGCTTGTCTTTCTTCACTTCCTTCAAAATTCTTACAGTCCATGCACTTGCAGTTGTCAGAGCAGAGAATATTGGCCTGAAAGCACTCACAATACTTCTTTAAGCAACCTGATTTCTTGCAATGGCATCCTTTGTTGTGCTTTCCCAGCATTACTACCTCTCCAATCTCATCCTACAAGTGCTCAAAATAGGTCACTTCGTTAGACACAGACAATCTCAACATTGTAGTGCAGCGAAAATTCCGATTCACATCCATTTTCCTTTTTATGTTCCAAGGGAAAAATTACAATAAGAAGAATAAACTATCCAAATTCAATGAGGAAAAATGACAGGAAACAACACTAGGTCCTTGCAAAAAAAGAGAATGTGTCTAACAGGGTAACTTCCTCAAGTTATTTGTTTATGTTTGAATGCCCTTTTAGGAAGTTATGACTCCTGCCCGGCTTTGGTAACAGATATAAGTTAAACTGCTTCATTGTGGATGGGAAAAAATCTTGTGTGACGTTGTAAAGTAGGAGAGAATAATGACCCTCTCAAATTGGTCATTGCTAGATAGGTCGTAATGTCCTTTTGGATAATTTCTCAGTAAAGAAAGATACTTATCAACATGGTTTCTCAAGATGTGCAAAAGAAGTAACATACATATAATTATCACCAACAGAGAATTTGGAACCTTTGATAGCTCTAAATTCTACTAGGTATCCAGTCATCTCCAGAACTTTGTTTAATTCTGATTCAGGACAAGAGAGTAACAGCTGCTCTAGAAATTGAACTGAAGCCATTCAGATGGCTTGCTGCTCCGAAAAAATGGCTTCTCAAATGAATTTCTAAGATGTCTAAAATTTACCAAATACATAACATTCCTCACTCAGTTAATGAATTTATATTATAAAAAAAACGTGAGAAAAAACGTCCATTACACTCTGACTCAGACCAACATACATACCCTGTTCTCTCGTGTTCCATGTGGACTGCTTGCAATTTTTGGTCGGAATGCATTTGGATTACGCTCTAAAGTAGCTTCAACTGCTTCTCTTCTAGAAGCTTCATTCTCAACATTGTTATAGCAATTTGCACAATTGCAACCATCACAATATATTCCAGATGCGAAGCACTCACAATAACTGTTCATTAATTTTTTTTCAGGAACGATGAAGATTTGAAGGCTACCAATTTTTCACACAAAGTTCATAATGAAGCAAGATACAAAAGATCCATATTATGCCCATTCAAAGAAGACAGTTCGAGATAATTTCAATCTGTAACTTACATAAATTGTGCTTTGAAAGAGTATTACAGGCTCTATATAATATAGTAATGCCAACCAATGGCCATGTCATATTCAAAGAAATCAATATTACCAAATTCCATCACACTCATTCTGAAAAGGTATTGATCCTGCTGGCCAAATGTCACAGAAGTTAATATTAAAAATTGTCTTTCCCACTTATCCAACCCATTCGAATTGCAAAATGCTACCGTATCTCCACTTGTCTTTTTTGCATTCAATTACGAAAAAAATAAATAAAAGTTTATGATTTACAATGGAATAAAATATCAATTTACCGCAAATAACATAGACTGCACCATTAGCTAAAATGACACAAGAATATTTGACTGCAGTACATCCGATGTTTAAGTGTGCAGTGAAAACAGTAAAAGCAATTATAGGAGTTCAAAAGAAAATCAATAAGACCAAAAAAAACAAACAAACAAACAAAACAAAACAAAAAAAAGACAGCAGAAAACATCAAAATCTAGAAACTACTAATAAATATTACAGAATTGCAAAGCATATTAAGGCATATCGCAATTACTGATTAGAACAACCATTAAGCACTGATGTATGATAGGTATGCTACATCAGCACAGAATTACAAAGCAGTAAAAAATGGAAACGTCAACCCATGATAAGCTTCTTTGTAGAAGCATATAGTTCATGTTCTTACAGCTTTAAGCAGCGTGAGTGTTTGCAGTTGCACTGTTTTTGTTTCTTTGGAGTAGCATCCTTTGTTTCAACAGATCTTGATCTCGACTTCGGAGAATCTGGCTTTCTGATCAAAAGAATAAATAATTACTGAGTCACGCATTAATTAATAAAGTTATCCCCAAGTTCTCATACATTCTTAAAAGCCCACACGAGTGAGAAACACAAGCAGGCACCAAATTCAAATTTACTTCTGGTAAGTTTCAAGTACACACTAAAATTAAAGTCACGCTGTCAAGAGAGATTAGAAGTCTTAATACACACTATGCCTTTGTACATTTTACGGCAGAGATCAAAGCAAAGTTGGGGGAAAGATAAGTTAAAAGCTAGAATAAATGAAAATGGAAACAGTGTCATATTTCATCCTAATCAGAAAAGGGGAAAGGGACAAAGAAAGAAAAATAAAAAGCAAATACAGAAATACTGAAAATACTTTCTTTATAACGAGAGATATTTTTAGAATGTATATTACTCTTAGAAAGAATTATAAACATTGTGAAAAATCTATGATACGCCAAAGCTATTAAGTATATAAGAAAGAGTACAAGAATTCTCTCCACCTGCACTGATAAAGCAACAAATATCTAACCTCTTCCCCAAAAGAATATTTTCACTGTTTAATCCAGAATAATTTTCAGGCTTTCAGCCATGAGATAAAAGATTTCGTTTGTTGAAGCTCTTTGTCTACCCTCTAAGTCAGCATAAGTATATGATAATCACGCATAAACTAAGAAGCTGGCCAAATATAGTGTAACAATTAACGAAATGAAACAAAGCAATGACTAAAGAACCACTGACAAAAACCTCAAAATCTATCCCCAAACAAAAATGAATTTACTTTCTAATACCAGGGGGGTTGGACAAATATCACGCTGTAAAGCGAATTTATTCATTAATATAGATCTTATAAAAACGGAAACAAATTTGCGAAATTCCACCCTCCATCCCCCGTCAGAAAAAAAAGAAGAAGAAAGATTTGAGTAAAGCTCAAAGAAAGAGTCAAATAAAGCAAGAGATCTCAAGCAGACCTCACAGAATGAGGTGCTTGTGTTCCAATGGGCAAAACCATCAAATGTTGTGGGGACTTTGGCTGCGACTGACTCTGCACCACCATCACGGCCTGCGACTCTGATTGACACCGAGACTGAGACTGAGACTGAAAATGAGGGTGCTCTGGCAAGACTGCACCACCAAAACTCGTAAAATCCAGCTGCCTGGCTAGTTTCTTAGCAGGAACGTCAGATGAAACCACGTTACCCGGTTCCGCACTATCAGTTTGAGCATTTGACGGGGCCAAATTATCCATCTCCCGATTCTCAACTTCCCCCATTAAATTTGAATTTCAAGTATCAAACCTCTGCCAACAATTTCAAATCTTTTCCTAAACTTTCTTAATCCACATATTTACTACCAACAATTCAAACTCGAGAAATCTACTCAATCTTCCGAATTTCGGGCACAAATCCCAGTCCAATAGCGGCGACAAAGATCATGCACAAAAATACGCAATTCCGGAACTGAAAAACTTTGACGCCGAAGCTCGTCTTCTGAATACCTGAAATTAATCACAAGGACTTCGACACTCGAAGAAAGCCGAAGAGAAGAAAAACAAAAGGAGACGCCTAGGGTTGTGCTGCAATAATTTGTATACAGTACGAATGGACAGAACAAGAAGATGAGCAAGAAGGCTTACGTTCTTCGTTTCTCTCCCTCTCGAGATTTTGAATTTCAATTTTTTCCAAATATTCGACGGTGAGATTGGGTCAGTGAATTCAATCGGACGGCGAATGTTAGAGCAGCTAATCCAACCGCGGAAATTCATAGAGAGAAGAATACTCCACGCAATGACCGTCAGATAATGAACCTCGAGATGTTTTCCCATGCGGACAAAACTAACGTAGCGGCGATGGATATTCCACTAGCAGAGCAACATGTATACAATTAAAAGCACTTCGGGATACAAGTGCCACGTGGAAACGTTTGATTGAAGGACCTCGTGAAAAAGGAGCGAAGTTAAATAAGATTCCGTTACTGGAAAAAATAAATAAAAAATAAAAGAGAAATATAATTTGGCGCAAGCCGCTCAAGTAGTTGACTCGGACTCGGAATTTGGAGGTAAAATGGAAGAGCTCGTTACGGCGTACTGACGGCGAGATTCTCTACTGTCAGACTAGGATGCGAAGAAATGGACGGTTACGATTAAATATCGAATACCAGAGCCTGAGCCTAATATTCTAAAAATTCATAAAAATTATTTTGTTTACGCTCACTAGAATACAAATTATAAATCTCATTATTAAAATACTTATATCCGTATAGGTGATATTTTTATTGACATTCTTGTTTTTTCAACTTGATTGCTCATTTATGAGCCCAAAAAACAGTACTAGAAAACACTACGTGAAAAACAAGCCACCATCCCCTCAAAATTTCTGTTACTCAGATCCGACAAGTGAAGAACAATAAAGCAGCCATTAAGACAGGACTGGAGTGGCTCTCTCCAAGCCCAAGCAAATCCATGCCACAGTACAAGTTTAACAGACATCAAAAGACACTTCACAAATCTGCTGAATTGATGTAAAGATAACCACGATTCAAAACCATTGCCCAGAAGCCAACAAACCAGACATGGGAAAGAAACAAGAAAAAAAATTGGTTTTTACAAGCACTAATTCTGCTGGCTGCCAACTACAGCATCAAATAATGACGCACAGAAACACACGAGGCAGAGAATGGACCCCATTGGCAATTTTCGACATACTGGATCAGTCAGAAAAATCATGCAAGCTCCAAAAATCATCCCCCCTTCCATGGCTCTAAACAGATTACAGGATGCTGTTCTAACCGAAATTACATGGGAAGCCAAACGTTAATTTCAAGTCTCAAACATTAGAATGGACCTCCATCGCGATCTCGTCCTAGGCCACGCCTATCGTCGCGCTCCCTTTCAACATAAACATCTCTACGGAAGTCTTTTGGCGGAAGGCCTCCACTTAGTGGTGATCGAAGCGAGACTCTCAATGGAGATCTAACCGGACCTCTAATTGGGGAACGACTTCTCTCCCGCACATCGCGCGCCCAACGGCCACGTTGAGAGAGCAGTGGTAGTGGTGGAGAAGGTGGTCCTCTCTCAAAGCCCTTCCTCTCGGTAAGGAAGTCATCCCTTCCATGGTCTCGAAGGGCCCAATCAGCAGGAATCGGCCTATCAAACTTGGATCTTCCTCTCAAGTCTTCTAGATAGTCCACCCTATCTCTTCGCAGGGGGTGATCGGGATACCTGCTTTCATACCTCGGAGGTGCTAGAGCACCAGCTGCAATCTCTCTAGGACCATCCCTGGCCCAAGCACGGGGAGGAGACCTATATCCTGCCAGAGTTCTGCCAGGAGAACGTTCCATTGGGTGGGCAGCAAAACGTCTAGGAGGAGAATGCAGGGATGGTGGACCAAGATAGCTTCTTCGAGGGCTTCCACCCGCTCCTCCAGGGCGGGATCTGTTGCAGTTGTTACAAAGTTCTCGTCTTGCAAAGTTTAGGTTGCGACATCTAAAGAAGAACAAGAATAAAACTGGTTTGAAAAAAGAATTGCACCTTGAAGCAGTGTAATGAAAGAAAGTAGTACACTAAGCTATGCATTAAAAAATCCACGTATGAGTACCAGATGCCAAATAGTGAAGAAAACAGAACATCAAAGACTATATCATTCACTTACACTCAGGCTTTTCTCATATGTCGTATTTGTCATTTAGTCCAATCACTATAGTCACTTCCGTAAAAGAAATACGCAGAAAAAATTACTTTTTAAGAAAGACGACCTCAAAAAATTATCAAAACCACAAATTTAGAATCAACCCATCAAAAGATAAAAATAATTCAACCAACCAGAAAACATATTAATAGAAAAGTATCTTATCCAATGCAACAGGAAAACTTCTCATTCATATGAATAAAAGGTGTAATGGCGCATGATTATCAACAAATGTTTATCTGAACATAACAGGAGTAAATCAATTGTTACATATATAAATTTTAGTGCTAGGTTAGTACTTACAAAGGATCTGAGCAATACCAATCCCCATCCCTAGGACGCACATTTGGATTATTCTTACTACGATCCCCTCTAAATGACCCATGAGCAAGTCCAGGGCCATAAACGCCTCTCCCAAATGGCCTACCACTACTTATTCTTCGATTGTAATGAGGTGAAGAGTCTCGATATCTACCAAGATCCCTTCCCCCACCGAAGTCACGGCCCCGCGTAAGACCACCAGAATGATCGAGATCAGAAATATAACGGTGATCATCCCGACGACGTGTTGGAGAAGCTGAACCTGCATGTATTCTATATCCTGAAATAAAGAAGGTAGTAGATTTATAGGACATTAAAAAAGTAACAACTTGAATAGAAAATTAGTCGAAGTACAACATCCACATTATCTCCAAAGATTTTCCCTGATAGAACTGCAACCAACCAAAAAAATTGACACGAACCATTTGCCAATCATTGCTGGTGTCTCCTCTCTGTGAACAGAGCAAAAGAAAGTGCAAAGAGGCAGACAAGAGACAAAGTTCTGATGATAATTGCCCTTGTAGGTTCGATACATTACCACCCATACCATAATAAATTTTAACAGAAGCATGTAAGATAGCAAAACCATGGCTACTTGGTACATTTCCTGCTTTCCTCAAGTAAATGTGTCCAGTGAAAATACATGTAAAACCCACATCCATCCATATTTAAAATCACCATGGCCTATAAATAAGTTATTTCCAATTTTCCATGAACACAGCAATGAACCCAAAATCACAAGTCTTGAAGTAACAAAAACTCAGTGCCGCTAATGTTCTGGCAAGGAGGAAGGACATCCCACCAATAGCCCAATCTTAAATGAACAACACGTACAAGTGAATTCATGTAATCACACAGCATAATCAACCCATACTAATATACAGAACCCTTCAATTGAATGACACCTGGGAGGATCAGCAAGACCACGGTGAAGAGTTCACAGGAAATAAACCGTAAAAAAAAACCCACATAAATTGAAGCGTCCAAAAAACCAGACTAAACAATGGCACCCATCCTAATCTTCTGTTAGTTCAGAAACCAACTCCGGATCTTACTTGAATAGTCACAATAGGACGGCTTTCAGAAACATGCCAATGAATTTCCATGCATACCACAAAAACAATTTTCCGCAGAATCTAGTGGGCTAGCCACATCCTGTTGAAATGACCAATGATCACTTTAGTCACTGACCACAACAAAATTTGTAAGAGTTGAAAGGATGAGAGGAATGCAGTTAATCCAACTGTTTGACCATTGGGCTGCCCATTGCTATACCAATTCACACTACCAAATATTTAGGTTGAAAAAAAGCCCTAATTTCCAGGATGAGGTACATGATAAATTGTGAAGATCCCAAAACTTTGCTGCAAATCAACCCCTTAATGAACCTGACCAATAGATCAAGAAGTTGCTAAACATAACGAAGATGGCCCTTACTAAATCAACCAACCCATACGACCCAACCAATGTCTGTTCCATGAGAATAATTTCATCCCTTGAATGGAAATCTAGACAAGGAAAAAAGTCCACATCACAAAAAGTGGCATCTTCACTTCACATAAGTCAAATACCAGATGGTAAAATTGGTGGCCCTTAACTGTAAATTTTATTTCTTGCAGTGAGCCAAAGTCAACGCACCTTTAAGTTCATTTAGAGTTCATACCAACATTCTCAGCCAGGCAGGACAACACTTCTTTAGCATGTTGTTTGATCATCTCCAATTCCTTTAGAGAAAAATCCTCACCTCACCTCACAGTGATTCAATTTGATTGGTATTTTAATACATCTTACTCCAACCAAGCCCAACACCATAGGTACCCCAAAATGACAACGGATGATAGCTCTCTACTCTGCAACCCATAATTTCTCGCACAAATTTTACCCCCCAAATTAAATGATCTTAACATGAAAAAAGAGCAATTCCCAAGACCATGATCTGAGACTGCACTTACCCAATGCCTTCCTCAAGATCTAAGTTCTTGCAGGCGGCAACACAAAGCTGTAAGAGAATAGAAAAATTTATTCCCAGAACGAAAGTTTGACATGCTGAAGTAGGTCCACATTCTCAACATACAAAAGAAAACGAGGATAAAAAGAAAAAGAAATAGAGAGATCACGTAATTCATATGTCACCAGAATATCACAACATTTTCAATAAGATCACAGTGACGAAAAAAATGTATGTGAAAAAAACCCCAGCTATCAATGGCATCCTAACTTGGAATCTGATGGATAAGGAGAAAATGTCAAATTACATACACAATTTGATGTTAATAAATTGAAATACGTTTGCATAAGATAAGTAATATAAGATTACCAAACAGTTTGCCTGAGATTTAAGAAAAATGCTTTAATTGTTATCTGAATATCAAATAAACTAATACATCCTTTCCAACAAGCTTCGAGAAAAGAGAGTGACAATTTTGGCTTCCCGTTGAATTGTGCATTTAACACTATCTCTCAAAGTTGGGTAGGGCCGGTAGGCTGGGCATATTATTACATGATTCTAGTAACAAATTGAATTCACCCAATGCTATCAGACATTTGCTGCAATTAAGCGTGAACCCAATAATTCCAATAATCTACTATTTTGAGCAAAATTCTTAGACAGCATTCCTCTAGATGGAAAGACATTTAAACCCATCCTTTATTATCAATCATACATTGATATCTATCTATCTATGAATTGAAAGCAAGGACCAGAGTGTAATATTATTGTCATATTGCAATTGTCTTGGCAAAAGTTGACCAATAAGAGTATATGGTACACGGAACCAACGGCAATGACCCGTCCTTGGAGTGAGAGAAAGAAGATGCTTCTGTTTATTTTTTTAAAAGGCAGATTTAGGAATTTCATCTCCCATGAAACGATAGCATACAGCGGCCTATTAAATTTTCCCCCACAATTTAGGCAGAACTCGCAAATTGGGATTTAACTAAGACGAAATTTACAAGGTCCACTCAGATTGTGGGATTAACTTTTTGATTCTCCCTTGGCTCGAATGCCTTTTCTCCCTATTTTTGCAATTGTCAATCTTTTAATGAAAATACGTTTCCTATCAAAAAAATATATAAACAATAAATTCAATCTAAGGTCACAGGCGATTGAATTCAACGCGGGGATAAAATTTTCACAGCACAAAAGTTTTAAGAAGAGCAACTATTCATCCAATTAGAGCTCGAAAAGCGTGCAAAGACGAAGGTGTATAGTAGAATAATAACGAACCCAAATCATCTGAATATCGATCCAATCGAGTAAATTGTGGAGGATTGCGGGGAACCTCACCGGCCTCATAATCGCTTCCACGACCCACGCGGCCACCACTGGTTCCGCCGACTCCACCACCACCTCCATCACTATTGGAGGCTCGTACTACAAGGCTGCTCAATAACGGTTGATGGTGAGTCGTAGAATCTTTATCCCTCGAACCCATCCTTCGTCCTCTTTTCCTATTTCTTCCGCTTCCGCCTGAGCAGCGACGAAACTGGTGGGTCTGAAGTCCGAACGCCGATAAATCGTTGAAAAAGATGGGTTGTGGACATTCATAAACCCTAAATTCTAGTTAAGGAATTCAGCATGTGAAATTCCGAAAAAGGGTATGCCCCGTTGAAGTAGGGTGTGCGCCTCCGCTGTCCCTTCCCGGTAAAATGCACTTCTCACAAAATTCCAATTGTAAATTCATGATGTATGATTTAATAATTGTTTTTTTACTGCGCAGACATGTGGGTGGGAGATTCGAAATCAGCTATCAATGCAATTGTAAATCTCAATTGAACTGTTTTTTTGTTGTTCTTCTAAAAAAAATTGCTGTTTTGAATCACCTATCGAAAATATCCATTAACCTAATAAAGTTTATCAAATTTATGGAGAACCGTCACACTATATACCAATTGATTTTAAAATTGAATCACATTAATATTGATAGGATATATGAACCCAAAACTCATTTATAAGATACAGTATAAATTATTACAAATACATTCTAAAATTGAAGCCGTTTGTTTTTTGGAAATGCAGATGCCCGACATTTTCAGATGCTTGAAATTTCAGGTGTCCGAAATTTTAGATAATCACGTTTGTTTTCTTGTAGGATTTATTCATGGGAATGTTCTAAATTTATATAATGTTCCAAAAAAGCCTTACGAATATTCATATAATTTATACATTAATCTAATATTAATTTGTATTTATATAATAGATTTTCCTAAAATTAATTTAATATTTTGGATTTTTTATATTAATTACGTATATGTATTAATTTTTGTATGTTATTAGTAAAATTCATATTAATATAAGACTTTTTTTTTAATAATTAGTATTGAATATAAATTTCATTTTCAACTTTAATATCTTTTAAAAATACAATTATATAATTAATGTTATATCAGGTAAAAATTCATTTATTATATTATCGAATTATATTTTTTTAAGAAGAAAAATATCAAACGTAAACTGGTCATTAAAAAAATGTTAAAATTAAATGGAGATATTATATAATTTAATTGAAGTTTATTTTATATGTACATGTATTAAATAAACTCAATTGCTTATTAGTTAATGAGTATATTAAATTATTTAAACTATAATTGCAAATAAAATCAAAGAACTTTGATAAAATAAAATATATAAAAAAATAACGAAAGGTAAAAATGTCAATATTAAATGTCCTCGACATGAGAATCATGGAAACTCATGTTTCAAAAAAAGCATCCAAATCGACTCGAATGCATTCTAAATGAACATCTTATGATACCCGAACATCTCGAGATATCCGGATATCTTACATTACCGCAATGCAAACATGACCGACATATGAATTTCCACGAAACAAATGGCTCCATTAATTAATTATCTTGGCAATCATTTCAAAGTTAATCATATCTATTTATTGAAAACATATTTCAAAACCAATCCGATTTTGTATAAAAAGCAGTTGATTTCTTAAAAAATAAATGCTCAAACCTATATCTAAAATTACTTTGGAAAATTATATTAAACAAATATACGTACTATAAAATCATCCCAAATACATTCTACAATAACTACCATAATTAATGACATCTAGAATTTGATTAAAAGCCAACCAACTCATAACAACACTTGTTTTAGTACAACATGTGAAGTTAGAATTCGAACTCACGACCTATTGGTTTGATATATATGTCAATTACAGTTGAGGTATGTTCATTCTGACCTATCAATAACGAAACTTGTTCAAGCATATATTGTTACAACAATATATAGAGAAATTAAGGAAACATGAAAATAAATATTTTGAACCCAACATATAGTGTTGTTTTATTGAAGATAAATTTTTGTTTTCTATAGTGCTAAAGGTATAATGAACCATCCGTGAATGCAGTATTCAAGCAATCGTATAGACTATACAAAGAGAATTTTGACAGAGAGAGAATTTTTTGAGATAAGATTTTTGTTTGAAACAATGAATTGTACTATTTATAAATAGTGGTATTTTTTTCAAATAACGTTATATATTTTGATAAAAAATATTTTACAAAAAAAAAAAACACATAATCTCATGAGAAATTGTGATTATTCATTTTTTTTATTAAAACTAATTTTATTCATAAATTTCAAAATATATTATTGATTAAAAGATGGTTAGTTACCACCTTCATTTCCACGCATTGACATACTAAAACAAACTAGGATTAGGAAAAGAAAAAAGAAATTCCACAACATATTAGAACCGAAAGTTTTCAATGATGTAATTTATCTTGATACTTATTTGAATCTATTCCAAAATAGATTAATTTGAACCTTTGCGTAATAAAAATGTGGTGGGATCTAGATGCAAGATATTTAATTATTATACATGCAGCCAAAAATTGAAAGGTCCATATACTAGGATACACGTATCAGCATCTCCACGCAACACATAGATCCTCCAGCCCTTACGACGACACCTCCACCAGAAAGATGATAAAAACCGACAACGTCTTAGAAGGCGACACGTCAACCGTAAATATTTAGAGCAGCCGATTCCGATTTCCGTACCCCTGCTTTTGTTACGCCCGGACACCTGGCACCTCCACCACCGCGGATTTCCCTTCAACCAAAATCCACTGATGCTCCGCTTTCGTTACGGTGTGAGCACCCGCACCCAATCACAACTGACAAACACTTTATTTTATATCAGAAAGTGAAAATACGAAATTAAAGAAAGAAAGAAAGAAATAAATACTACGAAGCTGTGGCTTGGTTGTTCGTTTCCCTCGCTCGCTTTGTTTCGGTATCATCAGTTGATGGACTGATAAAATTTTTGCTCTGTTTTTATCCATGGCGTGCTGGGCAATCATCGTCACTGAGTTGTAAAATTTAAGGCTCCATCTCCATCAACCGAGGATATATATTCTACAGTCGGCGCCTCTCTCTTTGCGTGTGTTGGAGTAGCGACAATTGCAGCTGCTTCTACAAGGTTCTTCAAGAAGGCTTAAGAAGCTCTACGGTTTCTGGCTTCAGATCTGTTTTCTGATCGTTTAGTTCTTTGAGTGCCTGTGATGGTGTGGAGCTTTGAAGTTCGACAGGTTTCGATTTCAATGAATTTTCCGTCACTTGGCTGAGATTACAATCAACTTCCTCCACTTCTCTTTTACTCGGTAATTCTGCTTCTTCTGTCTTCTCTTTTTCGATGTAGTTTCTTTATTTGTTACGTGAGATTGCACATTTTGTTTTACGGTCCGAGAGAGATGTACATAAGGGGAAAAAAAATGCTGCAAAGCAAGTTTATAGGTGGATGATAATTATATTTGGCTTAGATCAAGCAATTAAAGTTCTTCCGTTCAGTTCTTGGTAGTTGTATGAGAAGTTGAAGCTTGATTCAATAATGAATGACTGTTTCCGTAAAATGTGAATCAACTTGATAATGCCGGACGCTGATGTGATGGAATTTTAAGCTCATATTAATTGAAGTACTTCAGCATTAATTCAATACCGGAAGCAAAATATTTGGACTATGAAATGAAGCAAAATATAATCCTAAAACTCTTCATATTAGGCAACTTCTGGCGAGGACTTGCTGCGGTTTGACATGTGGGATCGAAAACGTGAAGCTTTCTCGACGTACAAACGATTATCGTTTAAAGAGAACTCCGATCCAATTGACATGGAGGATAATTCTTCAGGTAGGTAATTCGTTATTTGGCAGTCTGTAGGTACATTTCATCTGCTGCGACCCATGAAATTTATTTGGAAATATTCTCTGTTTTTACGTGGAGGAATAGACTTGAGAGTCGATGAACTTTTTAAACGAAGGTTAATACATGATTATTGGCGTAATTCGGGTTTCTTTTTTTAGCTCGTTCGCAGAGTGGTAGGGATTTCGCAGACTCAACCCCTTCGTGGAGATTTTCTTTACCGCACGTGCTAGTGGCAACCCTAACTTCATTTCTATTTGGCTACCACCTTGGGTGGGTTCTATTTTATTGATTCCAACTGTCTCGCGCTTTTTCGGTGTCAATGTTTCATGAAGCTGTTCTTACTTGTTCGTTCACAAGTAGACAGTGATTTTATAGCTTGGTATCTGTTCACTGCAGAGTAGTTAATGAACCACTGGAAAGCATTTCAGCGGATCTTGGTTTCAATGGGAATACATTGGCAGAAGGTGACATGCTGCGAGTACCTTGTTTATGTTCTATTAAACTATGATTGTTTAATTTTCATTAATGCTCGAACGTGCTCTGGCATGAAGGTTTGGTTGTGAGTACGTGCCTGGGTGGTGCCTTAGTTGGTTCTCTACTGAGTGGTTGGGTAGCTGATGGGGTAGGGCGTCGTAGGGCTTTTCAACTGAGTGCCTTGCCAATGATTGTTGGTGCTGTAATGAGGTGACATTTTCCAACCATAAAGGCAGTTTTAGACAAGTTCTACTTACTATTTATCTTTGCTAGTTTAATGTTTTCCCACATGATCCCTTAAGATCACTGCTCCCCTGTTGACTTTCAGTAATTGATTTTCTAGTTTCTTATCAACCATTCCTTACATCATGTTGTTTCCTCATTCTTCATGTTACTGCACTCTCACTATAAAGGTCAAAACTTGCATTTCAGTGCAATGACCAAAACTCTGGCTGGGATGCTATTGGGACGACTATTTGTTGGGACTGGAATGGGTCTAGGCCCTCCTGTTGCTTCTCTCTACGTCACGGAGGTACAGCCATTGCATATTTCTGCTTTATATGTCTTAATGGACATCTTTAAAAGGATGCAATGTGAGATGATAGCTTTCTACTCCCATTTTTCTTACTCATACGAGTAGGTCTCTCCTGCATTTGTGAGGGGAACATATGGAAGCTTCATTCAGATTGCTACATGTCTTGGACTGATGGCAGCCCTCTTAATAGGAATCCCTGTCAAGGAGATAGTAGGCTGGTATGAAATATATGGTATATTCTAGAACACATGCAAATACAAACTATCCATTTATTTATCATTTCAGAATATGCTTTCCTTTTTTGATTCAGGTGGCGTGTTTGTTTCTGGGTGTCTATAATTCCGGCTGCATTGCTAGCTCTAGGGATGCTATTTTGTGCCGAGAGTCCACATTGGCTATATAAGGTTTGATCATTCCAGTACATGCTTTCACATGTACTTTGTTTTCTTTTAAAAAAACAAAACAATTTAGTAATTTCTGAGTCGAAGCATATGCATGTTAATTTCTTTTCCTCCAGTGTTTTATCCTCCCGTTCTGCATTCTGTGTTTATGCATAAATTCCTGAATGAGAAAATCTTAGAAGTCTATGTCTAATCTTATGTAATGTAGCAAGGACGGACGGAGGAAGCGGAAACTGAATTTGAGAAGCTTCTTGGTGAGTCACATGTAAAATCCGCTTTGGCAGAATTGTTCAAGTTTGCTAGGGGAGATGAACCAGATTCTGTAAAACTTTCTGAATTGCTCTTTGGTCGCCATTTTCAAGGTAAACAATACTCATTGTTTTCCCTTTTGTAATTCCACCACCATGTGCTCTTACTGCACCATTTATGTCTTTCGTTAGGGTGGAATAGTTCTTCGTTATTCACGCCTTCCTTTTGCAGTGGTTTTTATTGGATCAACACTATTTGCTTTACAACAGCTATCTGGTATAAATGCTATATTTTATTTCTCCTCAACTGTGTTTAAAAGTGCGGGAGTACCATCAAACCTTGCAAATGTCTTCGTGGGAATTTCAAACTTAGCAGGTTTGCCTCTACACTACAGTGCTTTCTATAAATATAAGCTACTATTCCATTATTTTTCTTCGTGCATTTATCAGAAGGCATTAATTATTTTATAAAATTTTCCTATTATACATCACAGGATCTATAATTGCAATGCTTTTGATGGATCGATTAGGAAGAAAGCTGCTTCTTCTATGGAGCTTTTCTGGGATGGTAATAAAATCAAGCAAATATAATTTTTATTGCTATGGCACATATCTTGAGCCTTCTTACCAAGTCTTGTTATAAAAACTGGAGAATAAAATTTAAGCTGTTTGAATCAAAGAGGTAAGGGGCATGCAAATGGTTGGATGGAGAATCAACTCATTTCTACCCAGTAGCGCTAGGAGTTAGAACCACCTTTGATATGGTTTTGCTAAGAATCAACTAGGCATCAGTCCTTGACTAATTGTAGACCAAAATACCATTCACCGAGTTGATAACGGTTGGAATGTTCTTTCATGATTGGAGGGTGGTGTTATCTGAAAAGACTTTGCTTGATGTTTTATGTCTAATGCAGGCAGTATCAATGGCCCTCCAAGTTATCGCAGCAAGTTCTCATTCCTTAGACTCCGGAGCTCTATATTTGTCTGTAGGTGGCACGTTAATGTGAGTAAATTTGTTTCATATATTGTACATACGGAAAAAAAAACCCCTCACGACTCATTCATCTTTGATCTGGCTAGAGCTATGTACTAAGTCAATTGTAATACCCATAACAGGCTATCATTTCACCAAGAGTTTCTAGTCATAGATCATGAGGTTGTAGGTCAAATATTAGCTTGCTTACATATTGAAGATGATCATTAAATAGACCAAACAAAGGAAAAAATTAAGATCATACTTATTGTGTCCTAAAATTATGAAAATAGACTATATTAGTCTAACTTTTATTTACTAAATGTAAAGAAAGATGGCTTCTTTTATTCCTTATTGTTTTGCCATCTCTTTTTTTGATTTAGTGCCTGATATTTTATTTTATTTTTTAAAAGGCCTGATATTTCAAATACTGTGTCTGTACAATGAAGGTGGAAAATCTGGTTTTCAGTCGGAAGGCTATTTACGATAACATTGGATTTCCAAGTTAATCAATAACTCTCATCACCTTTTTACTTATTCTAACAAGTATTCACCATAGATATGATTAGAGAGGTTGTTTCTGATAAAAATGATGTAAATGTGTAAAAAGAGAGTGTAGATATTACTGATCAACGAGAAAAGTGGCTAATAACGTAACTTTGCAGGTTTGTCTTTATGTTTGCTCTCGGAGCTGGTCCGGTTCCAGGTCTTCTTTTACCAGAAATTTTACCCAGTCGGATAAGAGCAAAAGCTATGGCAATCTGCATGTCGGTACATTGGGTAACGTTCCACTTCTTTGCTGGTCTTATGACTGCTTTTTGCCAATGTACCATTCCACTTCTTTGCTGGTATTATGACTGCTTTTTGCCATGGGTGCTTCTGTTTTTGTGGCTGTTTTTATGGCTCAAACTGCTTGGAAAATAGTAGCTAAGGAGGTTCAATTCATGTGGATTTATCTTTCCCTACTTTGGAAATGGTTGACAATCTCCATAATCACTGAGTTTGATTATGAAGATAGCGGTTCCATCCGAAACTTTAAGAACCTATATTACTTCCTTTGCATTATTTAGTTCATCTGTTTATAAGAATTTGATATTGACCTTGGAACCCAACTTGAGCTTAAAATGCCTTTGTAGATTCTGTGGTTCATTGGTCCATTATTTATGCTTCCCAGGTGATAAATTTTTTTGTCGGATTGCTCTTCCTACAATTGTTGGAGAAGATGGGACCACGGCTTCTGTACTCTGTTTTTGCTACGTTCTGCTTGATTGCAGTTGCATTTGTGAAGAGAAATGTAGTGGAAACCAAAGGAAAGTCACTTCAAGAAATTGAAATAGCACTCCTCCCTCAACAATAATATGCATCAACACCAAGTTCCCCAAATTTCATGAAGATTGCTGCAGGATATGCTGGATTGCTTACAGTCCTAAGCATCTATTTAACCGATGCCATCGCTTATCGCATAGTTTTGCATCTACAACAAATGAGATCCCGTTTCTTTAGCCAAAAATTGTATGTGTGTAATGTAGTTTAGAGCAGTATTGACCTGTCACAAATGAGTGTGTAGTAGAGACCTCAAAACTATGGTGTAATATAGAGAGATACTAGACTTGATTTTGCCGCACTTTTTTCATCAACTTCTTGATATGATAAGTATTTTAGGTTTTATCTACTCTATGATCTTTTTTGTTTGCTGGCTTTTAAACCATCAGCAGGAATTCGTGTGGCTTCAAAACACGGCGACCGACGCATCATTTCAAATATGGAATTTGCATTTAACACAACAAAGACGAACACAACTCTCTTCACTTCTCTGGTCAGTGTGGCTTGCACAACGTGCAGATGCCTGTTTCTTAGTACAAAACAATGTTACACTAGAAATCTTAAGCTCTAGCTATACGATTGGCATAAAACATGAACAATACGGCAGTTGATATCGATCACGAGCACGGTTACACATCACAGCCACCGCACGCAATGCACCTGCTGCACATATTATGCATGTAAGATCATGAGGACATAACGTGATCAAAATGAAGGCTGCATATTTTAGTGGGACTGAGAATGACCATAGGCCATACTCGAATAATCATTTCTTATAGTCATACAGTGAAATTAAGGAGGAAGAAAAAAGAATGAACTTACACAATTGAACAAGCCGACCTTCGGCTCCTCCTCTTCCTCGTCGTCTCGATCCTCCTTGGAGGTTGGAGAACAACCTTGATTGCAGTGTCAAAAACAGCTTTGACATTCTAAACAAATTATAAAATTTCAGTCCTATGAAACTGTAGGTCCTTAAGCGAAATGAGATGTTGAAGAAACTCAGAAATTATGATGTGGGAAGTAAATGAGTAAAAGAGAGAAGGAATAAAAGAGGGAGATGACAGTGTTTTTCACCTGTTGAGTCTTGGAACTGCATTCAATGTATGCAGCAGCACCAATTTGTTTCCTAAGCTCTTCTCCCTGCATTAAACAAACTGAATCAGTTTCTTCTGAGAAATGCCTTCTATTGATTCAATCCAGATGAAGAAGTAGAAAACAAGTTCATAAAGAACTGATTTTATGTTGACCAAAAATTGGTACCTGAGAAGGGGTTATTGTGTTTGATGCCCTATGATCGTCAAAATAAGTTCCACTGTCACGAAGATCTAAGGTTCATGGAAAATCAAACTATCTCATCAAACTGCCCCTTAGAGAACAGACGGCAGAGAAATTTTTCTCTCTGTCAAAACCAGTTTCAAGTTTACTCACCCAACTTCGTCCCAACTAGAACAATTGGAACACTTGGCGCGAATCGACGAAGCTCCGGCATCCACTAAGAAGCATAAGGTAAATTTCAGTTCATCCATGGCGATATCAGAGTCAGAACAAAAACTTTATTTTACATGGAAATGGCCTTGGCCTTGAAAAAAGGCCCAGGTGGCTCTTTTTCCACCATTACCTTCTTGAGAACATTCTCATAACTCGCCCAGCTGATCAAGGAGAAAGCCAGAACAAAAACATCTGCACCCCTGTAACTCAGTGGCCTGAGTCTGCTATAATCTTCTTGGCCTTCAAAACAGAGCCAGTTTTAGTCAATAACCAGAGAAATCAAACGCATTTCAAACTCAAAGAATGACAATCCATTAGAAGCATCTAAGAAAACCCATTTACCAGCAGTGTCCCATAATCCCAAGTTGACAATGTTCCCATCCACAGCCACATTGGCACTAAAGTTGTCAAAAACTGTAGGAATATAGTCCTGCCATAACAAATACAGTAACTTTAAGCAATTTCTTGGCATAATGAAAGAAAGAGATTAGAAAAGGAGTGATTTTGGAAGATGGGTATGAACAAACTAACGGTGGGGAACTTGTTACTGGTGTAACAGATGAGCATACAAGTCTTCCCAACAGCTCCATCTCCAACGGTGACACATTTAATAAACCTGGAAGCACTCATCTTTCTGGTAGGCAGTGGAATATACCAGAACCCCAAAAGCTC